CTAGGTAGAGATCACTGTACTGCTGTTGTTGCATATATATCCCTGCATGCGAACTGGCCTTGTGGCCCTTTGCTTGTGCTCAGAATGTGTGGTGACGTTGTGATCCACCCTGAGCTTGCTTTGCCTCTCTTGACTGGTCTTGTGACCCCTTGCTCTCCCCCACTTTGCCTATGGGGGTGTGTCAGACTATATATGCTATATATGTTTAGGCTGTAGTGGGGTAGCCAATATGGGGTACAACCCCTTCTAGGGTTTGATATTTGTACCCAACTCTTCCATAGTTGATTCATTCCTGCCTGTACTTCTGACAATGTTCGCGTATAAATGTTCGCTCATGCCTTCGCTCACATCTTTGTACTCGTTTGACACCTTAGTGCAATTCTCGCTACCTCGATTCATTGCACCCGTAACAAATACGAAAACAATCAATAGGAATACGAGATTTTGTGGATTATTATAGTAATAAAGATGCAGAAATTGCCCATACTAAAATGGGTATCTAATTAAATATTCTGAGATATTATCGGTCACCTTCACAGCAAATAAAGTTGTGTTTGCAAGCTGACCTCATCTTTGTTCGCAATTTTTTTTTTGGTTGTAACTATATTATCATAACATAGATACATCCGCAGTCGTAACTGTATTCTTGGAGGGCCTAGGCCGCGCCTCACTGGGCGTTGCACTCCCCTCCCTACCGGTTTACGGGGGCTGATGAAAAGTGCGCGGGTTGCGCCAAATCGAGAGAAACAGGCCCGACCAACTTGCTGGCCCATCATCATTGCAGATACCACGTAACATCTTCCTTTCGTCACCTGCCACCTGACGCCACCAATCCTTCCCTGCGCCTATGTCCGCCTCCCCTGCAGCTGCCACCCTTCTTCGTGATGCCACCACCACCCTCGCATGCGTCATGAAATCCAACACTGCACAGCGTCCCACCTTCTTCCGATCAAAAGGGGTCGCATGCCACACCGCATCACAGCGCGCCAACCAGATCCGCCTGAGTACCGCCGCTGTCAAAGTCATCTCAGGAAAGCCCGACTTCGTGCCCCCATGCTCATAAAGCAGGTCGCCCAGCGAGTCCATGGGCTTGCCCGGATTCATCATCTGCAGGGACCTCTTAAGCGCGCCGATCACAGGCTGTATTGCTGGGCAGCTGTAAAGGCAATGCGCTAGGGTTTCCTCACCCCCACAGTGCGGGCAAGCAATCCTGTTCTTGAAGAAATCCAATCTCCCCCCCACCTGGAGGTTCATGCTGTGCACCCTGAGAAGCACATCCCTCGCCTTGAGGGGGACACTTACCGAGTCCCGTGTGTCGATAGCCCTCTTCCAATCTATCTTCTTGCCCCAATCCTCTTCCCACTCCGCCTGCCTCCAAGAACGCCCCGTCGACTTAGAGAGCATAGCCCGTATCTTGCGCAGCGGCACCAGTTCCCCGCCAGCAAAGAGTCCAGGCTTCCCTAGTATCCTTGCCTTCGGGTCCCCTACTGTACCAAGCACCCTGCCTTCCCGGACCGCCAGAGGCTGTAGGCTACAAGCCTCAAAACATGTCTCCCTCCGTCCTCCTGGGACGTACAACTTCCCTTCCGCGTCCGTCGCCATGTACTCTGCGACAATTTGTGCACCGTCAATTCCCTTCATCGCCCACGGAGGCCCCCTAGGCTGGCCTCGGAGGACGTATCTCGCCACGCCTGACGCCGCTACTACTGCCGCCGCTGTCGTTGGCTCTTCAACCAGCTTTTTCCATTCCGGCGGGATTGCCTCGTAGGCTTTCCGCGCCATAATTGCCGCTTCCTTGCACCCTTGTTCCACCGCCAGCTCCTCTTTGCCCTTCACTTCCCTACTCCCCCCTGGGCCGTCTGTGAGCAGGTCCCGAATCCTCGTCCGGATGAGAGCCGCCGTACCCTTCTGATGCCCAAGAGGGCTCGCCCCCCGATGCATGATGAATCTGTTGAAACAAATGAACTCCTCCTCCACCTCCCATCTGCTCGCAGGCGACGGCAGCGACGCGAAAGGTGACTTCCAGAAGACTTTCACTGCTGCCTTCCACCTTTCACTCCCTTGCTGCCACTGCTTGATTGCCGACGGATGTGCGTACAGCGTGGCCCACCCTTGCGGGAAACCAGCCGCTTCCTCCGCCAACCACCGCCGTGTGCCGTCCGGCTCGCGCAGGAGCTTTCCCTCCCTGCGGACAGCCAGCCCGTCCAGGCAGAGTTTCGGGTCGAGCTGGCCCAAACCCCCATCCTTCCGCGGGAGACACGCAAGGTAGGCGCTCCAGAGGATGAAGATTTTTTCCTCCTCAACTTCTCCGGCCGAGACAAAAGCGTGGCAGAGCTTCCTGATCTTCTCCCACACCTCATACGGTGGTGAGTACACCTGGGCTTGAAACATAAGCACGGGTAGAACGTAGCAGCTGATCACCGCTACCCTCGCTGTCGTCGTGAGATATTGTGCTTCCCACTTCCTTAACTCCTCCTTTATCCTCTCGTGTGCCTTTTCCCAGGACGGGCCAGCGTCGCCGTTGGGTGTTATCCATATGCCCAGGAGCCTTTCGGGTTCTTCTCTCTCAGACCACTTGTACGGCATGCCTTGCGGCGCTGCAGTCCCTCTGTTGCATCCCAGGGGAACCACCACCGACTTGTCACAATTAACCTTCAAACCTGACTGCTTGCCAAACATGTCCAGCACCTCTACCACCTCCTGCAGTTGACCTTCTCCGCGCAGCAGGAAAGAGGTGTCATCCGCGTACCCCACATACGAGAGCGGCGTCTTCCCTTCCGGCCCGACCCCCAGTCTCCTGCGCTGCGTCTCTCTGCACAGCGGTTCCAGCGCGCAGAGGAAGAGGTATGGTGCAAGCGGGCAGCCCTGTCTGACACCCCTATGCATCTCCACCTTCTCGCTCAGCCATCCATTAATAATGACTCGCGTCCCTGCTTCTTCGTGCAGGCCCCTGGTCCACCTGACAAACCTCTCCGGTATGCCCAGTTCTGACATCACTCTGAAGAGGAAATCCCTCGAGACTGTATCGTACGCCTTCTTAAAGTCTACCAGCAGCAACAACCAGTCTTTTCTCCCACCGTTGGGCGCCTCCACTGCATCCGCAACCACCGACACCGCGTCTGCCAGGCTCTTTCCCGGCAAGAAACCGTGTTGCTCCTTCGACAGCACCTTCCCCAGCACCCTTTTCAGCCTTGTCGCTATGATTTTCGTAACCCGTTTATACATGACTGTAAGTAGAGTGATTGGCCGGTAATTACCCACCTGGTCTGTATCGCCCTTCTTGTGCAGTAGAGCTGTCACAGCAGTTGAGATGCCCTCCGGCATCTTCGCCATCTCCACAAATTCCCTGACGAAACCCCTCACGTGTTCCTTGAGCAGCTCCCAGTGCAGAATGAAAAACTCCGCCGGCAGACCGTCCTGGCCCAGAGATTTCCCCTTTGGCAGCCCCTCCAGCCCCTCCTTGACCTCGGCTTCTGTCCATTCTGTACCTAGCGACGCCGCATCCGCGACTGAAAATTTCGCGCCTTCCGAGAAAGTCTCCCAGTCCACGGCCTCCTCCGGCGGCACTTCTTTGAAGGCGGCCCTGAAATGATCCGCTGCTGCCTGCAGCACTTCCTTCGTCCCCAGATACGCCCTCCCCTGGTGAGTAACCTTCCGTATCAGCGTCCGCTTCTTCCGCACCTTGATCTTCGCTAAGAGGTACTGGGACGGGACCTCCCCGTCCAGCTCCACCCTGATGCCCGCCAGCACCTGCATCCTATCCTTGCAGCTCTGCAGATAGGCCTCCAGGTGTGCCTCTTTCCGCACCAACTTGCTCTGCGCCCTTTTGTCCCCCGGGTATCTCATGACTTTGTGCCGCAGGAACTCCACTACACGCTCGAGATGCGTGACCGTTGCCTTCACCCTCTTCCTTTCTTCCCGCGAGTAGTCCCTCAGCCCCACGCTGAGCAATCTCAGTTTTTTCACGAGGTCAATCTTCTCTGCCCCAACCTGCTGGAGTATGCGAGCTGTCACCACACTCACTCCTCTCCTCTGTGCCTGCCTCGCTTGCATTCTCCACATCCCAGGGCCCCGGTCATCTCATTCTGCCACTGCTGGCGCAAACTTGATGCCGAACCAGTGGTCTGATAACCCCCTTGGCACCTTAACATGCCGCGCGTCAGCCAACAAACCAACAAGCGAGAAGGATATCAGGCCCCGGTCAATCTGCGTGCTCGCCATCGACGCCCTGTCCCGGAACGTGTACTCCGGTTTGGTCGGATGCACCACCCGGAAAGCGTCTCTGAGATCTACCGCTCGCTAGAAGTTCAGGAGCCTCTGATTCTCATTCCCCGATCCCGACTTTGATGATCCAGATCTGGGTCTTCCACCAGGTTCAGATCCCCTATTACCACCAAATGCACTGCTGCTGGCTGGGCCTGGACGAAAGGCGAAAGGCAGTTCCAGAAGAAAACCCCTCTGGCGCACGCCTGCGCGGGCAGGTACATCGCCACCAGCCTGAAGTTGATCTGCGGGCAGGCCACTGTGACCCCCACTAGCCTGCCTGACGGGTGAGTGATCATGTCTGTAAGCTTAACCTCCTCGTTGAAAGATAGCACCGCTACCCGCCTTGCTCTGTCGCTATTTCCCACCACCGCCGCCGATGATGGCTTTAGTTCCGTCCAAAAATTATGGTCCTCTTTGATTCTTGTGTCCGTCAGCACCACCACGTCCGCGACTGTTTTTATCCATTGCGCATGCGTCGTTCGTTTGCCGTTGCTTCCGAGGCCGTTGACATTGACCTCGCACACTGTAAGGTTGTTGGTGTTGTTACCCATTAATCCACTGAGACAGAGCCCCTTCGCATCCACGGGCTTGGTACAAGGCAACTGCATCTACACACAACTGCATACATCTTCCTGGTGAGGCACAGCACTCCTCCACACACCACGGATTATTCTCCCGGCGCGACAAACATCCCTGACTCCACTTATTACCACCAACTGCGCTCCTCTGCGTTGCTAATGCTGCAGGCCGAACTCCTTGCGAACTGGGATAAAGTTCATCATCCCTTTGCTTTTCCTGCTTGCCGCATCCCCCTGCAGCAGAGCCGTGCAGTGCTGGACCGACTTCACATGCGCCATCGCCTGTGAGAAACTGGATCCATGAGCCTTGTCGCACGCCTCCTTCACGCAGAGCCAGTCCTCCCGGCTCCCTCCAGTGGAGACCAGCACCACCGCTGGGTCGCGTAAGATCCTTTTCACCCGAGCGTCGAGCGGCAGTGACGCAGCTGCTCACGGACGATGTGGAGAAACAGGAGTCAACAGCGGCCGACGCCGACCAGCAGGGACCGTCAACCAGCCCGTGCGAGGTCGCGACTGCCTGAGATAAAAGGTTAGTGCACAAATGTTTACCGTTGATCGCGTGCAGACGCTGCAGCGTCAGGTTCCATTTTCCAATGCTCTCCTGACGCTCCGTAACAAAGTCGTCATGAAACTTCGTCATGTGCATGCCGTTGCAAAATTCACAGGAAAGCGACGGATAATGAACAAGAAGCTGTTTGTGGTGCACCGAATCTGTCAACAGGTGCCACCAACGATACTTATCCCCTGGGTGCCCCTTAACCAGGCCCCTTATCTTGTCCGTGTCTGCACCCGTCCTAGGATCCACCACCCGATGAAAGGCAGCCCCACTGAGGAAAGGAGTACGACTGCGCTTCTCCAAAACCGTCTTCACCAAATACTCGTACACCATCTCCGGCGTAATCGCAGCCAGGACACTCTTCAGCAGCACTTCGATTGAATCCGGGTTTGTCGCACGCTTGTGAGTATAGGTAGGATTCTCGGGATGCTGCCAATCCAGAAAGATCTTCTTCTCATCCAACATCTTGTGCTCAATCCGGCGACACCACACGTAGTTAGCGTCCGACGCCTGCAGAAAGGTAACTTGCAGTCTTCCGTACCGCTTTTTCGACAGCCACGCCGGCAACAGGACCTGGCACCTCGTCCAGGACATGTGCCGAGATGCTCCTCCTCCACAGCGCTAGCAGACCCTTGACCGTATCAATGGTGCGCGGGACCTCCTCCTCGTACTTGATTGGAACCAGAAGCGTGATCGAGAAACCCGCACGCGCAGCGATCTCCCCAGCCTTCACAGGATCGAAGCGTTCTTCCGGGTCGTCACTGAGATATCCATCATCTTCCTCCTCTTCTTCTTCCTCCCCGACCACAGGAGCCACAGGATCAACAGCCGGTGGTGTAACCTCAGTTGCTTCGTCCTTCTCTTCTGCAGCACTGTCCTCCCCTCCTCCAGCAGAGGAAGCCGTGGGTGGAAACTTCAGAGCCGTTAACTTCTTCACCAGAGAGATACGCACGTCGTCCGCAAAGGGGCCTTCCACCTCCTTCAACATCGGTTTCGGCGTCGCCGGCTCCGACTGATGGCCTTTTGCTGCATGATCACGCTCCACATTGCCCGCCTTGGCCGCTTGCTGAGCACCCTTCTTCGACTGACGCGGCATGGTGCGATGATGAGAGCTAAGAAGGCTGCAGATCAGATGTCCTGACTCACTCGAGCCTGAAGGAACTGAGAAGCCTGCTCTGAGCACAGAATCTTTATAGCCGCGTTGAAGTCACCTTGACCTTGTTTTTTTCCTTGGTCTTTGCTGTCTGTAGAACCTGCTTCTAACTGAAGAAAATCCCTCGAAGTTTGCTGTGAGCGACGCGTTCCTCACGCAACCCTTGATATTAGCAATGCCTGTAACTGTCAACCTTGGTAAGCCCTTGTTTGTCCATAATCTTGAAGTTGCAAACGGAGAAAACGGAGAGCCTGACAAAGAACACGAAGATGTAATGCTCGTCTTTTGAGAACATTGAAAGTATCTTCGTAATCCTCTTAGCATGTAGATTCCGAATCCGTAAGTTAACGAAGCAACTGATAAGAAATTGGTAGACATTGTGTTAGAGTGAGGATCTTGGATAGGATAGGAAGTGCTTTGGTAGAGTTGGTAGCGGAAGTCTTGTAAGAACTCAGATCATAGTGAATGTAAATGACCAAGTTTATTAAGAGATAGAATACAAGGAATATAAATAGTCCTAATCTAGCCATGTATTCTAAGGGGTACATTCCCTTATTATAACTATTTTACAGGCATTTCTACAGTGACTCTGACTATTGCACTACCTTTGTTACCGAGTCGCTGCATGTAACCTGTACGGTTACGCCTGTTGCCATTCGTCGATGGTAAGTCAGGCGTTGGTCCAGACGGTCAACAGTCGCGACAGTTGACTCTTGCGACTGTTGACCTTCCTGCCCTTGATACGGGCTGATCCGATACTACGGATGTTGCACCTACGGGAATGCTAAGTGTAATTCCCTTCACACTCCAACACTCCCCTTCATTCCTAGAGGTGCGCCACGTGGCTTTTGCGAGTCACTCCACACAGGTCCGAGCAGTACTGAAACTTCTGACGTGGCAGTTTCTTCGTGAGGAAATCAGCTGCCATTTCGCCAGTTGGACAGTAGATGAGGTGGACAATTCCTTTGTCGATTTCGTCCTTCACGAAGAAGTAACGCAGGGCAATGTGTTTCGTGCGGCTGACGAAGCCTGGCTTGTTCGCGATTTTGATCGCGCTCTAGTTGTCGTAGTGTAACTTAAAGGACCCGTTCATCGCCGTTTTCGTTTCCTGCAAGAGCTCCGTGAGGTAGAGTCCTTCGCGAACTGCTGCGCTTGCTGCGATGAATTCTGCTTCTGCTGACGAGAGGGCGATGAGTTCCTGTTTGTTGGAGTTCCAGGAGATGGTTCCTGCAGGCTCAAGTTTGAAAATGAAGCCTGTGCGGGACCTCCTGTTGTCTGCGTCCCCAGCGTGGTCAGCATCAACGTAGCCGGTGAGTTGTAGTGGCGCTGTTAAGTTGGCCTTGTAGGTGAGGCCGACATCAGGCATAGAGATAAAGTACTGTAAAGCGCGGCGCAGGTCTGCTAGGTTCTCCCCTTCAGGTCGTCTCAGGTACTGGGCGAGCTGGCTGGCGATGTAGGATAAGTCCGGGCGGCATGTGACGGCGGCGAACAGTAGACATCCAAGCTGCTGCTGGTACAGGCGGTGATCGGCCGGTGAGAGCGGAGTAGTGTCGGGCTCGTGGTTAGGCGGAGGAATGCGGAACGGGGTGGTGACACCGACGGGAGCGATTCCGAACTTCTTAGCAAGGGTCTCAGCGTACTTTGCGGCAGAGAGATGAATGGTATCCGCAGTCTGAGTGATATTGAGGCCGAGGAATTGAGTGACCTCATGGTCGATCGTGACCTCGAGCTTCTCCTGAATTTCGCGTTCGAAGCGATCGAGTAGGTCCGTGTCGTCGCCGGTGTAGAGGAGATCGTCGACGTAGGCGACGAGCAAGATGAAGTGGCCGCGAGATTCGAGGCGGTACATCCCCTGGTCGTGGGGAAGTTGCTGGAACCCGAGTTCGATGAGAACGCCGTGAAGATGCTGCTGCCACAAGCGTGGTGCCTGCTTGATCCCGTACAGGAACTTTTGGAGGAGACAAACAGCGTCTCCGTCTTCTTCGAACGCATGCGGCTGCTCGACGTAGATGACGGCGTCGACGATTGCGTAGAGAAACGCGTTGGCGACGTCGATCTTGCGAAGTGGACGCTGTTTTACGGCGGCGATGCAGAGGAGAATGCGCACTGAGGTGTGTCGGCCGACAGGTGCGAATGTCTGGTTGTAGTCCACAAATTCTGTCTGTTCGAATCCGCGAACCACCCAGCGCGCCTTGAATTTCTCGACCGTTCCGTCCGCGAGAGTCTTTATGCGGAAGACCCACTTCCCTGTAAGGATCTTTCTCCCCTTTGCGTGGCGGCGTGGCACCAACTTCCAGGTACCGCGACGTTGGAGTGCAGCGACTTCTGCGGCCATGGCGGCTCTCCACTTCTCGGCATCGGGCCCGTTGAGAGCCTGGCGAACAGTGGTGGGCTCGACCAACTGCTGGTTACCCCGTACGGCGACAGCGAGGCCGAGGATGCGAAGGCCCGTGAGGTTGGTTTCGGCTGTGGTGGTTACTTTGACCACGTCGTCGTCGTCGCCAGGGATGTCGCGAAAGGTGTCGCGGGAGGAGTCGTGAGTGGAGTCTTCGTTCATGGGTGAGTGCATTTCTGCGCTTGCATAGTCGTGCTGTGCCTGTACTGCTTCATGACGATCGATGTTTGTTGGGAAGTATGCAGGAGTGCCGAACTGCTCCGTAACGGGGATGAAGGGTGCCTCGTCTGCTGCTGGCTCGTCCGGTTGTTCTCCCGCCACGTCAATGTCGTCCTCGTCATTGGCGAAACTGTGCTGTCCTTGGAAGATGTTGTCTGGTGCGTTTTGTGCAGTGCGGTGCTGGCGGTACAGTGGCAGAGTTAGTCTTTTGTAGAAGATGCAGTCACGTGAACGCGTGAGCTGGTGGGTGGCGAAGTCCAGGATTTCCGGTTCGGGCAGTGTGAGGGCGGTACTGTACCATACACCCGAAGACTCGCAGCATGCGTGTATCAGGGTGTTTTCCGGTCCACTCCTTGAAGGGTGAGCTGTTGTTGGGCAGTGCCTTTGAGGAGAGCATGTTGTGCAGTCAAACTGCATGCGCCATTGCGAAGGGCCAATACTTGGTTGGCACAGCCGACTGCTTCATGAGGGCTCGCATTTTTGTCGCGAGGCTCCTGTTGGTTCTTTCCGCCAATCCCTGCTGCTCGTGGGCGTAGGGCAGGGAGACCATCCTCTTGATCCCCTTCTGCTTGCATAGGGTTTTGAAGTCGTCCGACATGTATTCCAGAGCTCCGTCTGTCTGGAACGCCTTCAACTTGTAGCCGTCGCTTTGGTTTTCTGCCATGGCGAGCCAGACTTCGAAGCAGTAGTAGGCGAGGTAGCGGTCCTTGACGTTCACGGCCCAGACGAAGCGTGTGCCAGCGTCGATGAAGGTAAGGGTGTACTGCTCCCCTCCAACTCCTTTCGTCGTGAGAACCAAGAAGTCGCTGTAAACCTTCTCCCGTGGTTTGTATCGTTCGGCTCCGGGAATCTTTTCAGCGAAGGGCGTGTGGCGGAGCGCGGCTGCCGGGCAGACGGTGCAGGTCGGTAGATCGGTTCGTGGTTTCAGCAGCTTTCCATCGGGCAGCAACAGTGCGTCTGCCGCAAAAACATTTGCGTTGATGCAGTTGTTGAGCACTTCGATTGATGGGTGTCCCATGCGTTGATGCCAGATGTCTCCGTCGGCCTGATATCCCTTAGTGCGCGCGTACAGTTCCTTCTCTCGCGCTAATATCTCCTCTGCTGTTTCTTGCCTTGTTAAGTCCGCAGGTTCGTCGGGCATGGTGACTTGAACTGCCGCTGCTTGAATTGTCACGCCATGATACGTTCCGCTGGTGTCGCTGACGGTGACAGTGTCCATCGTTACCGGTAGCTCCAGTGGCCTTTCTGGGGGCGAAGTTCGTGCGTGGCGATCTTCGGGTTGCGCAATTTCTTCTTCTTCGAGTGGGGTATCGCCGATTGCCACTCCCCTTGTCTCGAGGCGAAGATAGTCTCTGCCGTCTGTCGTGATGGGAAGCAGGTGAGGTCCGTATTCCGTCAGTGACTCTTCCTCCTCTGCTTCTGGTGCCTCTTCAGTAATTTCTGGTTCTTTTGCTGCTTCTTCTGCAGGTGCGTCGGCGATGTTGCCCCATCCAGTTTCAGCTGAGATAGCTTCGCCCAGCGCGGTGTTCTCCGTGACCCAACGCATATCGACTGCGTCCCGTCCTTCAGTTGTGTTCCAGCCGGTAGGGCGTTCAACAGGCGGCCAGAAGGTTTTCGTGCTCGTCGGCTCGGTTGTTTCGACTGCCGTCCCTGATGTGGTCTCCTCTCCTTCTTCCACTGCTTGCGGTCCGGTTTCTGCAGGGTTCGTTGTTGAGGCGACGGGTACGGCGAGAGCGCGGAAGGTGCCATTGAGACTAGGTTGCTGATAATCGGTTTCTTCTGGGTGGCTCCATCTTGGCGGTGACGGGTGACCCGGAGGGTCAAGAACAAGGATGTGTTCGTTGTCGCCGGTGGTTCTGGGCGACTCGAAGTCGAGCACGAAGACGCCTTCCACACTTGTTGCCTTTCCGATGAAGATGCCGTTGTATATTAAGTGCATTTCGTCTTCTGTCGCTTGCAGGCCAACCCCACACTTCATCAGCTGGTGGAGCGATAAGAGATTGTACCGGAGTTCCGGCACGATGAGGACATCGCTTATGTGGATGCAGTAGCCGGTGTCGTGGGACTCCAGTTGCACTTGTCCGCGGCTTCTGGCGTAGATGGTTTGGCTGTTGGCGACGTTGATCTCCACTTCGTTGAAGAGTCGCTCTCTGTTGAGGATGAAGACATCTGAAGACACCATGTGCTGACCACAGCAGCTGTCCAGGTACCACGTGTTGACTTCCTTTCTTGCCTTGGCCAGATTGGCAAGCTTCGGAGTGATGTGATGTTCCATGTCGTGATCATTTTCGTAGTCGTAGTAACATTCTTCGTCGTCGTCTGCGATGCGTGCAGGTGGTGACTCCTGAATCCACTCCGGCGCTTCCCAGTCGAACTGCATCCGGCCGACCGATAACTTGTCGTAGGTTGGATCGTTCTCTTCTTCTTCTTCGACTAATCCTTCGGGTCGTTCCTGAGGCGGGTCTGCGAACATATCTTCCCAGCTGCGGAAGAAGCGGTAGTGACGGTTGGGGCGAGGCGGTCCATGACGCACCATGCAAGTCAAGACCTTGCTTTTGCCCTTGTCGCTTTTGTTCGCAGGGAGATGCGCCGGGGTTTGGGACGTGCTGGCGACGGCTGCGGCTCCTCCTAGCTGGTGAGCAGCGGCACCCTTCTGGTTGTTGTTATTACCGTTCAGCTTCCAGCAGTCTTGAATCATGTGCCCAGTCTTCTTGCAGTACTTGCAGAAGAGTCTTTTCTTGTCTGGTGGCGCTTGAGCGTAAAAGGCGATCTTCTCTTTCTTGTTGCCTCTTTCGTTGTACATGTCGATTTCCTTCTACTCGGAGAGAAGCGTGGAGCAAAAGGCAGTCTCACTGAGAGTGCCTTGTGTACGAAGGAGGGACTTGCATTGGCGCCATTCCGGGCTCAATCCAGCAAGGATGATGGTGACGAACATATCGTCAGGGAAGTTGCCGCCGCTTTTCCTGAATTGATCTTTCAGGTTCCTGCAGCGGTTGATGTATGGTCCGGCCTTTTCGCCGGGAAACATCTTGACGTTGTTCAGCTGGTTGAGCAGGCGACTGAGTGTCACCGAATCTGTTGCCATGTGGCAGGTGCGCAGGTGTTCCCAGGACTGCTGCGCGGGCGCCCACTCGTTTTTGAAGGGGCGAATGCTCAGCTGTTCTTCGGGCGACAGATTTCGGATCAGGACGGTGATGGCCAGGAGCGATTCGTTGTAGTATTGCGTCTTCTCCTGAGGTGAGCCGTTTGCCGGAAAAGGGTATGATCCGTCGTAGTACATCAAGATCTGAGCGCCCTGAGCTAGGAGTTCGAATTCGAAGCTCCAGGTATAGAAGTCTTGTCCATCGAAGGGCTTGGTAGTCCTGAGCTTCGACGTGGAGAGGAACTTGCTCTACATTGAAGCCATTGCCTCGTAATGTGTTTTTTGTGCTTGAGCAGATCCTTGAGCTCCGCGGTTGTCGAAGGTAAAGGATCGTTCAGATCCAGCTCCTTGAGGATCGGGAGGTCTTCGGGCGTAACTTGAGCCGTCAATGCTCATTGGCTGGTGGCTCTCCAGTGCACTGATGCGGGAGATCAGCTGCTCGAGGAGCGCTGTGTCCACGGTCGTCGTAGTAGAGGCGACATTGGTGGAGGGTTGCACTGGATTTTCTCCAGCCTCTCCGCAGTCTGCGCCTGGCATGTTGATGCCCTTGATGTTGTCGATGTTGAGATTATTTTATAAAGAAGTTTTGTTGGAAGCCCCTTTAGCAGATCCTATAATCCAAACTAGCTCTCATACCATGTTAGAGTGAGGATCTTGGATATGATAGGAAGTGCTTTGGTAGAGTTGGTAGCGGAAGTCTTGTAAGAACTCATATCATAGTGAATGTAAATGACCAAGTTTATTAAGAGATAGAATACAAGGAATATAAATAGTCCTAGTCTAGCCATGTACTCTACGGGGTACATTCCCTTATTATAACTGTTTTACAAGCATTTCTACAGTGACTCTGACTATTGCACCACCTTCTTGTTATCGAGTCGCTGCATGTAACCTGTACGGTTACGCCTGTTGCCATTCCTCGATGGTAAGTCAGGCGTCGGTCCAGACGGTCAACAGTCGCGACAGTTGACTCTTGCGACTGTTGACCTTCCTGCCCTTGATACGGGCTGATCCGATACTACGGATGTTGCTGCTTCGACAAAGTCAGGTGCGGTACTGCTGCACCTACGGGAATGCTAAGTATAATTCCCTTCACACTCCAACACATTGGGCTAATCAAAGAGCCTGACAGAATCCATGGCGGAGAGCTGACGGATGTTGAACGGACGGAAGGGTTCTTGTGATCACCAGTGGGTTCACCAGGGTTACCATTTTTTTGTTAACTATATTTAATTATCAGATACTTTTTACGCTTTAGAGAGAGTGAGTCCGATTTTGAGGGAGCACGATGATGGGTGTGTTGTGTGAGCTTGGCCTCCCCCCATTCGTCAGCGCCCAGTTACGCTGGAACTTCTTTACGTTGCTGGGACAAACCAATCACAATCAAGGGTCTTTGTCGTGCTGCTTGGCTGGTTGGTAGCCCCTGCGAACGACCCTGCGAAAGAGTTGTACGACTCCGTTCTCAGCGACTTCGTACGATTCCTTCGCTGAGGTGTCGAATGCTGCTTCGCGCGAAAAAGCACATCAATCTGCCCATTATGCAGCGTCGTACAATCTCGTCCAGTCTAGGCTCACGTCGCAGCCAGTCGTACACGTAGTCGCATCACGTCGTCCAGACAACGAGATATTTGTGCGATTGGCGGGAGAACAGAAACAGAGGCTCGTTGCTGCTATTCGTTCTTCCTCCCTTTCGCAAGAAGCATCGTTATCTGGCGCCGCGCATTGCGCACTACTATCCGTGAATTCGCCACAGCACTTTATCCGCGCTATCTCCGCTACGCATGCGCATGCGCTGCTTATTTAGAAATGGCTCGACTTGCATTGCCATGACGGCAGACAGTGGATGAAAAGATAAAAGCGCGTAGAATTATAGATGTTATCCCAAGTCACAGGACATTTTTGGCTTGTGAGTCTCGTCAAATAGGTTTCCTTTCTAAAAACCACCCGCCCAGTAACTTATTCTTAGTTCCGCCATTCTCTTCGCTTCAAAAACCGTTCCGCCGCAATTCCCATTGGGTTCCTGACCTCTCGGTTCGTCCGTATCAAGAGCCGCCACGCATTTCGCGTCGGAAATCAAGCCACGAAGCGGAGGGGAACCGTTCGACAAATATTTTGGGCACAGGTGTCTACTTCGAAGCGCAGGTGAGGTGCGTATTTTGGTTCAATTCAACCTATCTCGGCACGTTGACATCGATGCTCGCCCGCGTTCCACCGCATTTTGCTTTTGCGGTCGGATATGCTGCTGGGGCAGGGCGCGCAGGGCACGGTGCAGTACGCGCGGGTGGGGGAGGCTCCCTCTTCCTTTCCCCTACCCCTCTACCCCTTTCCCCTCACCTCTTCCCCCGAGCGCGCAGCATCCAGCCATGAGGGTATTCGAGCTGCTAGGGCTGGGCGCGCAGGACAGCGTGCTGTACGCGCGGGTGGGGGAGGTCGGGGGGGAACAACGACCATGATCTCAACCTTCCTTTTCCTTCCCCCCTCAACCCCCACCTCCCCTTCCCCATGCGCGCAGACATGAAGGCATTCGAGCTGCTGGGGCTGGGCGCGCAGGACACGGTGCAGTACGCGCGGGTGGGGGAGGTGGGGGGCGACGGCGCGGGGGACAACGACCACGATCTCGACCCCCTCGACCACGACAGCCACAACCACGTCGCCAGCTCCCCCTTCCCTCTCTTTTTTGCCCTTTCCCTTCCCAACCCCCACTCCCATCCCCCATCCTTCCCGCTGCGCGCAGCATCCCGCCATGAGGGCATTCGAGCTGCTGGGACTGAGCGGGCAAGAGTCAGTGCAGTACGCGCGCGTGGGGGAGGTGGGGGGCGACGGCGCGGGCGACAACGACCATGATCTCGACCCCCACGACCACGACAGCCACAACCACGCGGGCAGTGGCGCGCGGGGGAGCCCGCAGCTAGGCGCGTCCGCGCGCGGGAGTCCTCCTCCGCGGAAGCAGCAGCAGCAGCGGGTGCCCGGGGTGGTGTTTAAGACGGAGGCTGCGCGCGCTGCTGCTGCTGCGCTGGATGAGGAGATGGCGGGGGGAGGGGAAGGGGGAGGGGGAGGGGGATGGGGAGGCGGAGGAGGGGGGAGTGGTGTGGGGGAGGTGCGGAGACCGCGACAGACTGCTGCTGCGCCTTGGTGCTCTGTGAGTGAGGGAGTGAGAGGTCCCTGCCTGTCCCCCCATCCCCCCCCTCCTTCCCCCTTCTCCTCTCTCACCAGAAGGCCACCCACCTGTCTCTGGTTGCTCGTTGCTCACTTTCTTTCCCTCGTTCTAACAAGCTAAAAGTTACCTTCGCGGTTGCAAAGCCTGGCACTTACATAAAAACGCTATTAGTAAGAAAAAAAAAAAAAAAACGGTCTTGCTCCCTTTCTCTCACTAGAAGGGCACCTGTCTCTGGATGCTCGTTTGTTCTCGTGCTCCGCCTTGCTCGACCGAAACCTTTCTCTCAGCCAGTCGCCTAGAAACTGATCCCTGGCCCTCTCCCCCCCTCCTCTCCCCCTCCCTTCTCTCTGACCAGAAAGCCACCTGTCTCTGGGTCCTCGTCTCTCTCGCGCTCTCAATCACACTAACTCAGGTGGGTGGATGGGTGGGAGGGTGGTTGGGTGGTTGGGTGGGTGGGATGGGTGGTTGGTTGGGTGGGTGGGATGGGTGGTTGGTTGGGTGGGAGGGTGGGTGGGTGGGGGGATGGGAGGGTCGTTGGGTGGGTGGGTGGGTGGGTGGGTGGATGGGAAGATGGGTGGGATGGATGGGTGGGAGGGTAGGAGGGTGGGTGGGTGGGTGGGCAGTGCAGACCACACTGGCACCTGGCTTTCAGGTGTTTCAGCCGGGTGCAAGTCAGTCAGCCCTCAGTTAGTGTATGTACGTTCGATTGCACTCAGCCCTCAGTTAGTGTATGTACGTTCGATTGCTCTCAGCCCTCAGTTACCTCGTGTTGACATTGACTAGACGCCCGCCCATGGCACTCAGGCCTCATCCATTCCCATAAAGCTTGTTTGCCTTTCCACCGGCCTTCATGTATTCTCCCACCTCTCCCTGCTTCTTCTAAACCAACCCTCTGCCGCCCCCCTTCCCCTTTCCCCAACCACAGCTCCTCACGGCTGTGTGCGTGTGGATACAGCCTTTGCTTCAAGGGCGCACGAGCCGGTGACTCAATACGCCGCTTGTTTTTCCTTCTCGCCCTCAAATCCCTCCTCTTTTCCTCCCCACCCACAGCTCCTCATGGGCATGTGCGGCTACAACCTTCGCTTCAAGGGCGCGTGGGTCACTCTCGTCTACGATGTGAGTAGCGCCGTGCTGCTTTTGAGATGCTTTTTTGAGGCGTGTCTCAGGGAAGCTTCAAGGGCGACTGCGCGTGGGTGGGTCACTCTCGTCTACGATGTGAGTAGCGCCGTGCTGCTTTTGAGATGCTTTTTTTAGGCGTGTCTCAGGGAAGCTTCAAGGGCGACTGCGCGTGGGTGGGTCACTCTTGTCTACGATGTGAGTAGCGCCGTGCTGCTTTTGAGATGCTTTTTTTAGGCGTGTCTCAGGGAAGCTTCAAGGGCGACTGCTTGGGGTGGGTCACTCTTGTCTACGATGTGAGTAGCGCCGTGCTGCTTTTGAGATGCTTTTTTTAGGCGTGTCTCAGGGAAGCTTCAAGGGCGACTGCTTGGGGTGGGTCACTCTTGTCTACGATGTGAGTAGCGCCGTGCTGCTTTTGAGATGCTTTTTTGAGGCGTGTCTCAGGGAAGCTTCAAGGGCGACTGCGCGTGGGTGGGTCACTCTTGTCTACGATGTGAGTAGCGCCGTGCTGCTTTTGAAATGCTTTTTTGAGGCGTGTCTCAGGGAAGCTTCAAGGGCGACTGCGCATGGGTGGGTCACTCTTGTCTACGATGTGAGTAGCGCCGTGCTGCTTTTGAGATGCTTTTTTGAGGCGTGTCTCAGGGAAGCTTCAAGGGCGACTGCGCGTGGGTGGGTCACTCTTGTCTACGATGTGAGTAGCGCCGTGCTGCTTTTGAGATGCTTTTTTGAGGCGTGTCTCAGGGAAGCTTCAAGGGCGACTGCGCGTGGGTGGGTCACTCTTGTCTACGATGTGAGTAGCGCCGTGCTGCTTTTGAGATGCTTTTTTGAGGCGTGTCTCAGGGAAGCTTCAAGGGCGACTGCGTGTGGGTGGGTCACTCTTGTCTACGATGTGAGTAGCGCCGTGCTGCTTTTGAGATGCTTTTTTGAGGCGTGTCTCAGGGAAGCTTCAAGGGCGACTGCGCATGGGTGGGTCACTCTTGTCTACGATGTGAGTAGCGCCGTGCTGCTTTTGAGATGCTTTTTTGAGGCGTGTCTCAGGGAAGCTTCAAGGGCGACTGCGCGTGGGTGGGTCACTCTTGTCTACGATGTGAGTAGCGCCGTGCTGCTTTTGAGATGCTTTTTTGAGGCGTGTCTCAGGGAAGCTTCAAGGGCGACTGCGCGTGGGTGGGTCACTCTTGTCTACGATGTGAGTAGCGCCGTGCTGCTTTTGAGATGCTTTTTTGAGGCGTGTCTCAGGGAAGCTTCAAGGGCGACTGCGCGTGGGTGGGTCACTCTTGTCTACGATGTGAGTAGCGCCGTGCTGCTTTTGAGATGCTTTTTTGAGGCGTGTCTCAGGGAAGCTTCAAGGGCGACTGCGCATGGGTGGGTCACTCTTGTCTACGATGTGAGTAGCGCCGTGCTGCTTTTGAGATGCTTTTTTGAGGCGTGTCTCAGGGAAGCTTCAAGGGCGACTGCGCGTGGGTGGGTCACTCTTGTCTACGATGTGAGTAGCGCCGTGCTGCTTTTGAGATGCTTTTTTGAGGCGTGTCTCAGGGAAGCTTCAAGGGCGACTGCTTGGGGTGGGTCACTCTTGTCTACGATGTGAGTAGCGCCGTGCTGCTTTTGAGATGCTTTTTTGAGGCGTGTCTCAGGGAAGCTTCAAGGGCGACTGCGCGTGGGTGGGTCACTCTTGTCTACGATGTGAGTAGCGCCGTGCTGCTTTTGAGATGCTTTTTTGAGGCGTGTCTCAGGGAAGCTTCAAGGGCGACTGCGCATGGGTGGGTCACTCTTGTCTACGATGTGAGTAGCGCCGTGCTGCTTTTGAGATGCTTTTTTGAGGCGTGTCTCAGGGAAGCTTCAAGGGCGACTGCGCGTGGGTGGGTCACTCTTGTCTACGATGTGAGTAGCGCCGTGCTGCTTTTGAGATGCTTTTTTGAGGCGTGTCTCAGGGAAGCTTCAAGGGCGACTGCGCGTGGGTGGGTCACTCTTGTCTACGATGTGAGTAGCGCCGTGCTGCTTTTGAGATGCTTTTTTGAGGCGTGTCTCAGGGAAGCTTCAAGGGCGACTGCTTGGGGTGGGTCACTCTTGTCTACGATGTGAGTAGCGCCGTGCTGCTTTTGAGATGCTTTTTTGAGGCGTGTCTCAGGGAAGCTTCAAGGGCGACTGCTTGGGGTGGGTCACTCTTGTCTACGATGTGAGTAGCGCCGTGCTGCTTTTGAGATGCTTTTTTGAGGCGTGTCTCAGGGAAGCTTCAAGGGCGACTGCGCGTGGGTGGGTCACTCTTGTCTACGATGTGAGTAGCGCCGTGCTGCTTTTGAGATGCTTTTTTGAGGCGTGTCTCAGGGAAGCTTCAAGGGCGACTGCGCATGGGTGGGTCACTCTTGTCTACGATGTGAGTAGCGCCGTGCTGCTTTTGAGATGCTTTTTTGAGGCGTGTCTCAGGGAAGCTTCAAGGGCGACTGCGCGTGGGTGGGTCACTCTTGTCTACGATGTGAGTAGCGCCGTGCTGCTTTTGAGATGCTTTTTTTAGGCGTGTCTCAGGGAAGCTTCAAGGGCGACTGCTTGGGGTGGGTCACTCTTGTCTACGATGTGAGTAGCGCCGTGCTGCTTTTGAGATGCTTTTTTGAGGCGTGTCTCAGGGAAGCTTCAAGGGCGACTGCGCGTGGGTGGGTCACTCTTGTCTACGATGTGAGTAGCGCCGTGCTGCTTTTGAGATGCTTTTTTGAGGCGTGTCTCAGGGAAGCTTCAAGGGCGACTGCGCATGGGTGGGTCACTCTTGTCTACGATGTGAGTAGCGCCGTGCTGCTTTTGAGATGCTTTTTTGAGGCGTGTCTCAGGGAAGCTTCAAGGGCGACTGCGCGTGGGTGGGTCACTCTTGTCTACGATGTGAGTAGCGCCGTGCTGCTTTTGAGATGCTTTTTTTAGGCGTGTCTCAGGGAAGCTTCAAGGGCGACTGCGCGTGGGTGGGTCACTCTTGTCTACGATGTGAGTAGCGCCGTGCTGCTTTTGAGATGCTTTTTTGAGGCGTGTCTCAGGGAAGCTTCAAGGGCGACTGCGCGTGGGTGGGTCACTCTTGTCTACGATGTGAGTAGCGCCGTGCTGCTTTTGAGATGCTTTTTTGAGGCGTGTCTCAGGGAAGCTTCAAGGGCGACTGCGCATGGGTGGGTCACTCTTGTCTACGATGTGAGTAGCGCCGTGCTGCTTTTGAGATGCTTTTTTGAGGCGTGTCTCAGGGAAGCTTCAAGGGCGACTGCGCGTGGGTGGGTCACTCTTGTCTACGATGTGAGTAGCGCCGTGCTGCTTTTGAGATGCTTTTTTGAGGCGTGTCTCAGGGAAGCTTCAAGGGCGACTGCGCGTGGGTGGGTCACTCTTGTCTACGATGTGAGTAGCGCCGTGCTGCTTTTGAGATGCTTTTTTGAGGCGTGTCTCAGGGAAGCTTCAAGGGCGACTGCTTGGGGTGGGTCACTCTTGTCTACGATGTGAGTAGCGCCGTGCTGCTTTTGAGATGCTTTTTTGAGGCGTGTCTCAGGGAAGCTTCAAGGGCGACTGCGCGTGGGTGGGTCACTCTTGTCTACGATGTGAGTAGCGCCGTGCTGCTTTTGAGATGCTTTTTTTAGGCGTGTCTCAGGGAAGCTTCAAGGGCGACTGCGCATGGGTGGGTCACTCTTGTCTACGATGTGAGTAGCGCCGTGCTGCTTTTGAGATGCTTTTTTGAGGCGTGTCTCAGGGAAGCTTCAAGGGCGACTGCGCGTGGGTGGGTCACTCTTGTCTACGATGTGAGTAGCGCCGTGCTGCTTTTGAGATGCTTTTTTGAGGCGTGTCTCAGGGAAGCTTCAAGGGCGACTGCGCATGGGTGGGTCACTCTTGTCTACGATGTGAGTAGCGCCGTGCTGCTTTTGAGATGCTTTTTTGAGGCGTGTCTCAGGGAAGCTTCAAGGGCGACTGCGCGTGGGTGGGTCACTCTTGTCTACGATGTGAGTAGCGCCGTGCTGCTTTTGAGATGCTTTTTTGAGGCGTGTCTCAGGGAAGCTTCAAGGGCGACTGCGCGTGGGTGGGTCACTCTTGTCTACGATGTGAGTAGCGCCGTGCTGCTTTTGAGATGCTTTTTTGAGGCGTGTCTCAGGGAAGCTTCAAGGGCGACTGCGCGTGGGTGGGTCACTCTTGTCTACGATGTGAGTAGCGCCGTGCTGCTTTTGAGATGCTTTTTTGAGGCGTGTCTCAGGGAAGCTTCAAGGGCGACTGCGCATGGGTGGGTCACTCTTGTCTACGATGTGAGTAGCGCCGTGCTGCTTTTGAGATGCTTTTTTGAGGCGTGTCTCAGGGAAGCTTCAAGGGCGACTGCGCGTGGGTGGGTCACTCTTGTCTACGATGTGAGTAGCGCCGTGCTGCTTTTGAGATGCTTTTTTGAGGCGTGTCTCAGGGAAGCTTCAAGGGCGACTGCGCGTGGGTGGGTCACTCTTGTCTACGATGTGAGTAGCGCCGTGCTGCTTTTGAGATGCTTTTTTGAGGCGTGTCTCAGGGAAGCTTCAAGGGCGACTGCTTGGGGTGGGTCACTCTTGTCTACGATGTGAGTAGCGCCGTGCTGCTTTTGAGATGCTTTTTTGAGGCGTGTCTCAGGGAAGCTTCAAGGGCGACTGCGCGTGGGTGGGTCACTCTTGTCTACGATGTGAGTAGCGCCGTGCTGCTTTTGAGATGCTTTTTTTAGGCGTGTCTCAGGGAAGCTTCAAGGGCGACTGCGCATGGGTGGGTCACTCTTGTCTACGATGTGAGTAGCGCCGTGCTGCTTTTGAGATGCTTTTTTGAGGCGTGTCTCAGGGAAGCTTCAAGGGCGACTGCGCGTGGGTGGGTCACTCTTGTCTACGATGTGAGTAGCGCCGTGCTGCTTTTGAGATGCTTTTTTGAGGCGTGTCTCAGGGAAGCTTCAAGGGCGACTGCGCATGGGTGGGTCACTCTTGTCTACGATGTGAGTAGCGCCGTGCTGCTTTTGAGATGCTTTTTTGAGGCGTGTCTCAGGGAAGCTTCAAGGGCGACTGCGCGTGGGTGGGTCACTCTTGTCTACGATGTGAGTAGCGCCGTGCTGCTTTTGAGATGCTTTTTTGAGGCGTGTCTCAGGGAAGCTTCAAGGGCGACTGCGCGTGGGTGGGTCACTCTTGTCTACGATGTGAGTAGCGCCGTGCTGCTTTTGAGATGCTTTTTTGAGGCGTGTCTCAGGGAAGCTTCAAGGGCGACTGCGCGTGGGTGGGTCACTCTTGTCTACGATGTGAGTAGCGCCGTGCTGCTTTTGAGATGCTTTTTTGAGGCGTGTCTCAGGGAAGCTTCAAGGGCGACTGCGCATGGGTGGGTCACTCTTGTCTACGATGTGAGTAGCGCCGTGCTGCTTTTGAGATGCTTTTTTGAGGCGTGTCTCAGGGAAGCTTCAAGGGCGACTGCGCGTGGGTGGGTCACTCTTGTCTACGATGTGAGTAGCGCCGTGCTGCTTTTGAGATGCTTTTTTGAGGCGTGTCTCAGGGAAGCTTCAAGGGCGACTGCGCATGGGTGGGTCACTCTTGTCTACGATGTGAGTAGCGCCGTGCTGCTTTTGAGATGCTTTTTTGAGGCGTGTCTCAGGGAAGCTTCAAGGGCGACTGCGCACGCGTGGGTCACTCTTGTCTACGATGTGAGTGGAGTGGCTTTTGAGCATTCTATAACGGAACGGACTCCTTCACGACGTGGGTGGCATGGCATGGCACTGGCCTGCCTGCCTGCCTGCTATGCTATGCTATGCTCGCGCTGTTCCTGTCAAAAGTCAAAAGTCATTCTGAGTCGACTCAAAAGTGGCATGGCACTGGCTTGCCTGCCTTCTATGCTATGCTATGCTCGCGCTGTTCCTGCTTTGAGACAGTTCGAATCAAGCCACACAGCGAATCTAGAGAGCGCAGCATGTGCAGCACAGCACCTACTTACTACCAGGCCATCCTTTCCCTTGCTAACGTCCTCTCCCTTCCTCTTCCCCACTCTTTCTGCTCCTTCTTTTTCCCAACCCTATTCTTCCCCCCCCATCGCTGTTCGTATCCCCAACCCTGTGATCCCCCTCCCCTCTGCCCTCCTCCCATCACAGCCCAGCACGCGGGCACAGACAACAGAGTCGGTGGCCAGTTTGGAGCACAGCGTGTATGACAACACAGGTGCGCATGGTGATGACATGCAGATGATGACGTGTCAGGATGGATGATGACGTGTCAGGATGGATGGTGACGTGTCATGTGCGGATGACGGGCTGGGCTGGCTGTGCATGGGTGAAAGGGGTGTGTCATCCATGCACAGCCAGCACTCAGAAAGAATTGCGTTACAGTCACAGCACCTGGAACACACCTGCACTCACAGGCGCCTTCCAGGTAGCGTTCAACGTGCCAAAACTCCCCACGTCACGTCTGCATCTCTAACCTTTTCTGCCATCCGCCCCCGTCTCCTCCTTTGCTGCTCATCATCCCACCCACCCCACGCACAGGCGTGCTCCAGGTGACACTTGACACGCTCGAGGAGGAGATTCACGAGCCCCTATCCTCCCAGCTTCTGCAACCCTATCCTTCCCTCCCTTCCCCCCCTCCTCCCCCCTCTCCCCACCCCACGTGCAGGCGTGTTCCAGGTGACACTTGGCACGCTGGAGGAGGAGATTCGCGAGCTGCCTTGTGCAACCGCAGCCTCCCTCCCACACCCCTCTTTGCTCATGATGCTCGTTCTTCTCCTGCAACTGCACTCCATCTGCTGCTGCACGCGTCCCATGCCATGCCATGCCATGGCATGGCATGGCATGGCATGGCATGGCATGGCATGGCATGGCATGGCATGGCATGGCATGGCATGGCATGGCATGGCATGGCATGGCATGGCATGCGCAGGCGTGTTCCAGGTGACGTTTGACACGCTGGAGGAGATATGTGAGCCCTCTAACCGCATCTCTCTCCACCCCACCCCACCCCACCCCACCCCACGCACAGGCGTGTTCCAGGTGACGTTTGACACGCTCGAGGAGGAGATTCGCGAGATCAGGGACCAGCTCAACGGTAACCAGGTGGGTGCTGGTGGGGGTGGGTGCTGGTGGCGGTATATCAGTGTCTGATCGTCACCGCGCTTGTGAGCTGGCGTACCAAGACGACCTGCTGCCCTTCTGCCGTCCTATTCGTCCCCCTCCCCACCCACCCCCATCCCATCCCACGTTCCCTCTCCCCCTACTTTCCCCACTCCTCCCCCCTCGCCCCCCCCTCACCACCAGAAGACGGGAGCCAAGCCAGCAGCGCCAGTCCCCCCCGTGGTGCAGCTGGCGAAGCTGAGAGTGCAGGTGGAGGAGCTCTCGTCCCAACACGCGCTGCTGCTCTTCTCCTGTCCCATTCCCCCCTTCCTATTCCCCTCCCCCCCTGCCCCCGTCCCATGCCTCCTCTCCCCCCTCAACACCAGAAGACGGGAGCCAAGCCGGCAGCGCCCGTCCCCCCAGTGGTGCAGCTAGCGAAGCTGAGGGTGCAGGTGGAGGAGCTGTCGTCGCAACACGCGCTGCTGCGCGGGAAACTGGACTCGCTTGTTGCTGCCGCTGGGGGTGTGAGTGCTGGTGCTGAAGGGAGTCCTGCTGCCGCTGCTGCCGCTGCTGCTGCTGTTGCTGCTGCTGAAGGGAGTGCTGCTGCTGGTGTGAACAGCACGGGTGGGGTTGCTGTGCAGCAGGCGGTGGGGAAGCTGCTGGATCCGCTGAAAGCGAGGGTGAAGCGCGATGAAGAGCGGTTGAAAAGGGTGCAGGAGAGGGTGGACGTGGTTGAGAAGGAGCTGGCGGATAGCACGGAGGTGCTGCAGCAGCTGCAGGTCGAGGTGGTGACTGGGGGGAAAGGTGAGGTTCTTGCCTCCGTGCCTCACCCCTAGGTGAGGTCGGCTCTGCAGCAGCTGCACATACATTCCCTCTCACGGAAGTTGCACACACATTCTCTGTTGTCTCTCCTCTCGTTTCCCCTTGGTCCCCTTATCCCTTTTTCCCTTCCCTCTCCTTCCATTATCTGTTTTCTCGTCTCGCTTTTCTATCCCTGCAATGTCTCCCTCCAACCCACAAAACCCACCCCACTCACCCAAAACCCACTCACTCACTCAGTCACACCAAACCCAGCAGCAGCATCAGTCGCAGCAGCAGAAAATCCTCGCGTCCACAGGCGCGCACCTCACATATCAAAGTCAAGTCAACCCACAACCACAGCGCATTTAACACCTGACCAACCTGCAGTGATGGTTGCTTTGCTCCCTCTTATCATCCCATCTCTCCTTTTTCTCGTTTTTTTTGTCTCCTCGCCTTCTCTCCCTCCTACCCCCTCACATTCAGTCGCACCAGACCCAGCAGCAGCATCCGTTGCAGCAGCCGAAATCCCTGCAACCACAGCAGCACTTGCAACACCCAACGTTCCTGCAGCAACGGTCATTCCCGCACCAGACGAACCTGCAGCAGTTGTCATCCCAGAGCCAAAGGAACCCGCAGCAGTTGTCGTTCCTGAAGCAACCGTACCCGCGGCGGTCGTTTTTCCAGCACCAAAGGAGCCTGGTGCCGGCGCGGTTGCTGTTCCTGAAGCAGGCGAGCCCACAGCAGTTGTGGTGCCGTCTCCGAACGAGCCTGCTGCGGTTGTCATTCCCGAACCTGCAGACCCTGCAGCGGTTGTTGTCCCGGGTCCCTCTGATACCACCCCCGGTCCTGCTGCTGCTGCTGCTGCTGCTGCTGGTGCAATGGGAGGGACGGGTGGAGGGAAGGAGGGCGAGGCGGAAGGGGAGGAGTGGGAGGGGGAGGATGATGCTGACTTGGGCCCTCCAGAGGATTACCCAGGCGAAGGGGATGTGGGAGAGGAAGGAGAGGAGGGAGGAGAGGAGGGAGGAGAGGAGGAGGGAGAGGAGAAGGAGGGAGGAGAGGGGGAAGCAGGGACGGCTGAGCAGGTTGGGAAGAAGAGTGCTGGGACTGCAGGGGAGACAGAGGCGGGAGGTGAAGAGGAGGCGGGGGAGGGGGAGAGGGAGGTGGGGGAGGAAGGGGAGGAGGAGGGAGGGGAAGTGGGGGAGGATGAGTCACCAGCAGTGGGAGGAATAGATGTGGCGGAGGTGCAGCAATGCGGCGATGAGGTGAGATGGAGGGGATGGGAGGATAGGGGAAGCAATGAGGTGAGATGGAGTGACCTTTGAGTCGACTCAAAATTGAGAGGGGGAGGATGATTCACCGGCAGTGGGACGCATAGATGTGGCGGAGGTGCAGCAATGCGGCGATGAGGTGAGATGATGGAAGCACGGTGGTAGTGAGTGGTGGTGAGTGGTGGTGATGGTGATGGTGATGGTGATGGTGATGGTGATGGTGATGGTGATTGGAGTGCTACGAGCAACACCTGGAGGAATAGATGTAGCGGAGGTGCAACAATGCGGCGATGAGGTGAGTTGATGGTGATGGTGATGGTGATGGCGATGGTGATGGTGATGGCGATGGTGATGGCGATGGTGATGGTGATGGTGATTAGAGTGTGTGTTTTGGCATTTTCATTTCTTCCCTCCCTCCCACTGTCCGACCGTTTTTGCCTTCGTTACTATTTGTCTCTCCTATTTGTCCCGTCCCCCCTGCCCCCCACACTTCCCTTCTCTCCCCCACTCGTGTTCAACATCCCACTCGTGTTCAACATCCCACTCGTGTTGATCATCCCACTCGTGTTGATCATCCCACTCGTGTTAATCATCCCTCACAACTCCTCTCATCCATTCATCCATGCCACCGGAGGCCAAGGCATGGAAGCAGCTTGTTATTAATCAAACTTCCCGCCTCTTCCCTCCCTCCGTTTCACCCCTCTCATCCCTCATCCCCCTCACACCCTCGCATTCATCCGTTCCATGCGTTGCCAGGTGCTCGACCTGCCACCGGAGGCCAACGAATGGAAGCACCTCGTACTCGTTTCAAACTCCCTGCCACTTCCCTCCCCTCCCTCTCACCCTCTCACATCCCCTCATCCATCAATCAATCCCCACGACAGGTGCTCGACCTGCCACCGGAGGCCAACGCATGGAAGCAGCGCTCTCTCGTGCAGATCACACCAGACCTGCAGCTCTTCAGGTGTGTGTGTTTGTGGGGGGCGGTGTGTGTGTGTGGGGGGCGGTGTGTGTGTGTGGGGGGCAGTGTGTGTGTGTGTGGGGGGCGGGGGTGTGTGTGTGTGGGGGGGGGAGGGTGTGTGTGGGGGGGGAGGAGGGGGGGGGGCGCGGGGTGTGTGTGTGAGGGGGGGTGTGTGTGGGGGGGGGGGGTGTTTGTGTGGGGGTGTGTGTGTGTCTGGGGGGGGGAGGGTGTGTGTGTGTGGGGGTGTGTGTCTGGGGGGGGGGGGTGTAAAGGTGTGGGTATGGGTGTGGGTGTGTGGGTGTGCTTGTGTGTGGGGGGGGTGTGGTGTGTGTTGGGGGGGGTGTGGTGTGTGTGGGGTTGGGGGTGTGTGTGTGTGTGTGCATGTGTGTGTGCATATGTGTGTGTGCATATGTGTGTGTGCACAATGCCACCACTACAGTCCATACCGCTACAACCCGCACATCATAGCACTCGTGGGCTTGCTACCTGCAGCCGTGCCCATCGTGCCTCTCAACGCCTGTCTCTTCTGCCAGACTGACGGCTCACGTGCCTCTCCTCCCCTCTCCCCCCTCCCCTCTCTTCCCCCCTCTCTCCCCCTTATCCTCTCCCCCCTCCTCTGTTTCCCCTCCCGGGCCTCCCCCCTCCCTCCCTGGCCTCCCCCCTCCCCCCTGCTCCTCCCGTCGCCTTTCCCTCGTCCCCCACAGTGCATACCGCTACAACCCGCACACCATTGCGCTGGTGGGCTTGCTATCTCCTGCCGTGCCCACCGCACCTCTCGACGCCTGTCTCTTCCGTCAGTCAGACGGCTCCCAGCCGATCACAGGCTCGCTGCTGCGCCTGCAGGTGGAGGTGAGTGCAGGCTGCTGGGCTGCTGGGCTGCTGGGCTGGGTGGGCTGCTGGGTTGGGTGGGCTGGTGGGCCGTCCAGCTATTCGTTGGGCTGGGCAGTCTTTCTCAGGAGTCACTTTTGCGAATTCTTATGTAAAAGCGAATTCTTTGCGAATTCTTCTGTAAAGTGACCCCACTAGAACAGCTTTTGAGGCGCCTCAAAAGTGACCCCACTAGAACAGCTTTTGAGGCGCCTCAAAAGTGACTCCACTAGAACAGCAGTGCTTTGGTTTCAAGGGTGACGCGGCCATTCCCCCAACTCATCCACCCCTCCTACCTCCCTCCTTCCTCCCTCCCCTCCTTCCATCCTCGCTTCTTTCCCCCTCCCCTCCTCCCTCTTTTCCCGCTCTCTCCCTTGGTCCCCCCTCAGAGCACCTCGGCAGTGGTGCTGAGACCTGAAGGCAGCACCACCACTGTTTCTACTCACCCGTCCCTCTTCCCCCCCTCCCAACCTCTTCCTATCCCCCTTTCCTCCTCCCCCACTTCCCTCCTTGCTCCCCCCTCAGAGCACCAAGGCAGTGGTGCTGAGTTTCCAAGGCAACACCGCCATCGCTCCTACCCACCTACCCCTCCCCTGATGTTTGCAGGGAGTCTTTTGAGAATTCTCAAAATCTCCCTCCAAGGCAACACCGCCATCACTCCGATCGACTTACCCCTCCCCTCTCCCGACTCCCCCTTCCCCATTCCCCCTCTCCCGCTTCCCGTTTCCCCTTCCCCCTCTCCCGCTTCCCCGTTCCCCCTTCCCCCTCTCCCGCTTCCCCGTTCCCCCTCCCCCTCTCCCCCTCCCCGCCCCTCAGAGCACCTCGGCAGTGGTGCTGAGGTTTGAGGGCGACACAGTTCTCCCCCCCTGTGGGGGCTATCTCGAATGCACTGCTGCTGCTGGGGCTGCTGGGGATGCTGCAGCTGCTGCCGGGGCGAAGGTGGTTGTGTACACTGAAGGCCGAGGGGAGGTGAGTGCGAGAGAGGGAGGGGAGAAACAGGGGTGTTCATTTCTGGAAAGATTGTGTATGACGAAAGGAGGTAGGAGGTAGGCAAACGGGGAGGCGAAGCGAAATGAATGTTCTTTTGAAGAGGGGGGATGGCGAGTGGGTTGTGTCATTGGCGAGGGCTAAAAGTTCAAGCATAGAAACGACTCCACTGGGGATCGAACCCAGAATCTCTGGTTCCGTAGACCAGCGCCTTATCCATTGGGCCATGGAGTCACATATGTGTCAATTTCCATTATTCCCAACACCTCAACCATTCGTCCTGCACACCCCTCCTGACGCCCCTCACCATGTGCTGGCTCCGCAGAACAATCAGCATCTCCTTTCCCTTTTCTGCACCTCTTTCGTTCCACTCTTCCCTCCCTTCCACAGCTCCTCACCCTTCCTTCACCCCGCTCCCTTGCCCCTCACCATCTACTCGCTCCCCCCTTTTCTTCCCTTCTTTCCCCCCGGTTTTTTTCTTTCCCCACAGTTCTCCACCTCGCCCTCACCCCTCCCCACTCCCCTCACCATCTGCTCGCTCCTCATTACAAACGGCGTTTCCTTGTCCTTCCCTGCACTGCACCCTTTTCATTTCATCCCACTGTTCCCTCCCTTCCCGACAGCTCTCCACTCCCCCCTCGCCCCTCCCCACGCCCCTCACCATCTGCTCGCTCCTCATAACAAACGGCGTCTCGCCGCCCCGCCTGCGCGAGTGGCTGGACTACCACCGGGTGGCGGCGGGGGCGGCGAGGTTTGTCCTGTACCGGCACAGCAAGAGCCACTGGCCTACAGAGCTGCGGCAGGCAGTGGGGGAATACGAGCGGATGGGGATGGCGGAGGTGACAGATATTGTGGGGGCAGACAAGGAGCAGGAAAAGGTGAGGAGATTCCTGCTGTGTGTTCTGTTGTTGAGGGGATGTGTCTCCTGGTCGAGCACAGGGCAAGCAAGGCAGTGTTTGGGTGGGGAGGGAGTGGTATGAGCAGATGGGTATGGTGGAGGTGAGAGGGTTAGCAAGAAGAACAGCAATAGCCACTGGCCTACAGAGCTGCAGCAGGCAGTGGGGGAATACGAGCGGATGGGGATGGCGGAGATGACAGATATTGTTGGGCCAGACAAGGACCAGGAGAAGGTGAGGAGGGTGGGGAAGACAAGGAGGATGAAGCATGGAGGGAGGTGGTGTGTGTGTTGTTGAGTGGGATCTTTGTGTGTCACTGCACTAGTACAGGGCAAGCAAGGCAGTGGGAGGGTGGGGGGTTGCGGGGGGAGTCTGGTATAAGGGGATGGGGATGGTGGGGGTGAGAGGCACAGCAAGAGCCACTTGCTGCATGAGCTGCGGCAGGCCGTGGGGGAATACGAGAGGATGGGGATGGCGGAGGTGACAGATGTTGTTGGGGCAGACAAGGACCAGGAGAAGGTGAGGAAACACCTGCTCTTGCGAAGGAAGGAGGTGGTGTGTGTCGTAAGGTGGTGTGTGGTGTGTGTTGCTGCATGAGCTGCGGCAGGCAGTGGGGGAATACGAGCGGATGGGGATGGCAGAGGTGACAGATGTTGTTGGGGCAGACAAGGACCAGGAGAAGGTGAGGAAACACCTGCTCTTGCGAAGGAAGGAGGTGGTGTGTGTCGTAAGGACCAGGAGAAGGTGGAGAAGGTGGAGACAAGGGGGATGCGGGGGGGATGGGGATGAGGGGGGGATGAGGGGGGGGTGAGGGGGATGTATGTTGGTGCATGAGGATATGTGGGGATGGTGGGGAATTGTGAGGATATGTGAGGATGGGATGGTGGGGATGGTGGGACTGTTGGAGGTGACTGACTCATATATCTACTTCTAATATCCTTTTTTCTTTCCCCCTTTCCACCCCCTTCCTCATACCCTCCCTCTCCCCTCCGACACCCTCCCCCCTCCCACCCCCTCTGCCCTCCAAACTCCTCTCCCCTCCCTCCTTTCACCCCACCCAACGCCAGATGCTGGCCCTACAGGACTGTCTCTACCGCACCTCTCTCTCCTCTACCTGGACCCTCCCTCTCGACCTAGACGAGTATCTCTCCGCCTCGCCCCCCGCCACCCTCCCCTCGCTCCTCTCCGCCTCCTCCCCCTCCTCCCTCGCCGCCTCCCCCTACCTTTCCCTGGGTGCAGTGCGGTGGAGCACGGAGGTCTGTCTGGGGGAGGCAGATGTGGTGAAGGTGGAGAGAGAGGGGATTGGGGGGGAGGGAGGAGAGGAGGATGAAGCTGATGCTGCTGGTGATGGTGGTGGCAGGGGTAATAGCAGCAGCACTGGTGCTGTATTTGCGGTAGAGAGGGCAGTGTTTAGAGAGCCGGCTCCTGTGTGCAATGCTGATGCGGCAGGGGAGGCGGCAGTGGGAGCGGCAGGAGGAGGAGGAGGAGAGGTGGATGCGGCATTGTGTGAGGGCGATGCGGGCACACGGCGGGTCATTGTTAACCCGCGCAAGGTGAGGATGGGGGTGGGTTGTGTGGTTAAGGAAGGGGCACTATTGGGAGGACCAATGCGCTTCCTGTGAGTTTGAGTGCAAGTGTGGGGGCTATGCCGCAACACGGTGAGTCAGTATCTACCCATGCAATGCAACGCCCGCAACAAACCTCAACAGCCGAGTGAGTATGTTTTTTGAGAATTCTAAAAGACCAGCCTTCCCCCAAACCCTCCTTCCCCCCTGTACATCCTCTCCCCATCTCTACCCCAGGTGCCCCTCGGTTCTCGCTCCACCAGGCTACATACATTCGCAGCACCCGACTCAACGCCAACATCCCATAAGTGCAATCCAATCCACCATGCCAAGCTTCTCAAAGCATCCTCTTCCTATCCCCGCTCCTCGCCTTTTGAGGCGCCTCAAAAATCGTCTCAAAAATTTTGAGGCGCCTCAAAAATCAATCCAATCCACCACGCCAAGCTTCTCAAAGCATCCTCTTCCCCCCCGCTCCTCGCCCTATCCCCTCCCCTCCCTTCCCTTCCCCAGCTGTCCCTCCTCTCCCTCCACTGCGGCACACCCCCAAGGGCGGCACCCCTCTCAACGCCAAGCCAACACACAGGCGCAAGTCAACAGAGTCAACCGCATTCTTCACCCTTCCCCAGGTGTCTCAAGCGTCAAGCAGGCGGGGCGGCTGTGCGGCAGCGAGGTGCAGCAGAGGGTTGATGCTGCTGATGTCAATTTCAGTGGGTTCAAAACTCGCCTCTTTCTCCTCTCCCCATCCCCGCCCTTCCCCAGGTGGCCCTAGTCTCACTCCACCACCCCATATCCTCCAAGGGCGGTGCTACTTTGAACGCCCACACGCAGGCGCGAGTGAACCGTTTCCTCGGCCTCTCCAGTCTCAAGCAGGCGGGGAGGCTGTGCAGCAGCGCAGTGCAGCAGACAGGCGACGCTGCTGCCGCTGCCGTCGATGCTGCTGCTGCTGGTGCCCCGCGGGGGTCTGTGGAGAGCCTAGAGGTGGCTGAGGGGGCGAGGCTTGCCAGAGAGTGTCCGATAGAGAAGACCAGGGAGGTGAGTGGAACAACGCTGGTAGGATGGGGAGAAGAGGGGAAGGGGTTGCCCCGCGGGGGTCTGGAGAGCCTAGAGGTGGCTGATGGGGCGAGGCTTGCCAGAGAGTGTCCGATAGAGAAGACCAGGGAGGTGAGTGGAACAACGCTGGTAGGATGGGGAGAAGAGGGGAAGGGGTTGCCCCGCGGGGGTCTGTGGAGAGCCTAGAGGTGGCTGAGGGGGCGAGGCTTGCCAGAGAGTGTCCGATAGAGAAGACCAGGGAGGTGAGTGGAACAACGCTGGTAGGATGGGGAGAAGAGGGGAAGGGGTTGCCCCGCGGGGGTCTATGGAGAGCCTAGAGTTGGCTGAGGGGGCGAGGCTTGCCAGAGAGTGTCCGATAGAGAAGACCAGGGAGGTGAGTGGAACAACGCTGGTAGGATGGGGAGAAGAGGGGAAGGGGTTGCCCCGCGGGGGTCTGTGGAGAGCCTAGAGGTGGCCGAAGGGGCGAGGCTTGCCAGAGAGGTGAGTTTGAGTGGGGAGGAGGATGGTGAGTGGAACGATTGGGGTGGATGGGGGGAATAGGTTGCCCGGAGGGGGTCCGTGGAGAGCCTAGAGGTGGCCGAAGGGGCGAGGATTGCCAGAGAGTGTCCCATTGAGAGGAACAGAGAGGTGAGTTTGGTTGGCCAAGCAAGGGGTAGGGGTAGGTGCGGCAAGGGAGAGTGTGCTGCTGCTGCTGGGGCCCCGCGGGGGTGTGTGAAGAGCCTAGAGGTGGCCGAAGGGGCGAGGCTTGCCAGAGAGTGTCCTATGGAGCGGAACAGAGAGGTGAGTGGAGCAACGTTGGGGAAGGGGGTGCTGATGGTGCTGCAGGTGCAGGGCAGCGAGGTAGGTGGTAGTGACTGACAGGTTCACTCACTGGGTGTGTTCCCAAGGAGGGAGGAAGAGAGGCGAGTGGAGCAGCATCACATCACGTTGGTTGAATGGACGGTGGGGGAGGGGACCTGTTTTGAGGCGTCTCAAAGCATATCGTTCTTCACTGCGTTCTGGGAAGTGGCTTGTCTGATGGGGAGAGCTGATCAGTGCAGCGAAAGTGGCAGGAGAGAAGCACAGGGCATGGGTGGATGTCCACTTGAGAAGGGGCCAGCAATTCATGCGTGAGAGACCCTCAACATCTACCCTTATGGTGTATGCTTGTCTCCCCCTGCACTGTCTCCCCCTGCACTGTCTCCCCCTGCACTGTCTCCCCCTGCACTGTCTCCCCCTCCAATCTCTGCTGCTGTACTCCCTCCTTGCAACCTTCGTATCTCAATCCCCTCGCTCCCGTTCCCTCAATGTAATCTTCTTCCTTTCTGTGCTGCCTGTGTCAACCGGATGTGACCGCATGTGACCTCGTTGGACCGCGTGTGACCGCGTGTGTGTGTGTGTGTGTGTGTGTGTGTGTGTGTGTGTGTGTGTGTGTGTGTGTGTGTGTGTGTGTGTGTGTGTGTGCAGTGCGCCGTTTCCTTAACGCCGTGACATCATCCATCTTGCACTTGGGGACCGACGCTGAAGCACATAGCATCCCATCCCGTCAATTCTTTAGGCGCCTAAAAAATAGCCGACGCTGAAGCGCACACCCAAGTGCACATCCCATCTCTTCCCATCTCATCCCGTTAATGTTGTTCGAGTTGGTACTACTTGATCTGGTATTCGACGTGACAAGGATTTCCTTGCTTCCGAGGCGCCAAACGCTGCAGGGGCACAAGCACATCATGCTGACATGGCATGCATCATGCTGACATGGCACACGTCATGCTGACAGGGCGCACATCATGTGGCATGGCGGGCATGGTTCACGCCATGCTTTGGTTGCTCATGCTCCTTTCAGCGAACTTGTTAGCCAGCCACCTTACGTTCATTCTCTAGCCCTTGGGGATGGCTGAACCACCTACCTACTCTAGTTTCTATTGATCTATCACTGTTCCCCTTCTCAAGCAAACCTGTCACGCCCCATTGCAAGCAGTTACCAGCCCTACTGTGCGTAACCCATATGCTTTCCAGCTGTGAGGGCCAGGTGGTCTAGGCATAGGCTCTAGCTTGCAGCAGCAGCCATGGATTCCTGAAGACATAATTCTTGTGAGGCTGGCACTGTCAGTGGCAAACAGGTGGCACAAACTTTCTGAGCGTTTAAGGACCTGCAAAGGGGCAACAATTTGAATCAACCAGCACATGTTTTCTTCAAGACATCTCTGGGTGAGAAAATGTTGTGCTTTTCTCCTGGAGAAGGGGTGTGAATGTTGGAGACATGAGAGGCAGGGCGGGTGGGGGGGAGTCAGTTACTGGAAGAGGAGGAACGAGTTGTGGAACAAAGGAGGAAGGGGGAGGGAGAGCAGTAGGGGTGGGGGACTAAGAGACCTGAAGACGAGGTGAGTGGAGAGGAGAGGGGAGGGAGGGGAGTAAGGGGACATCATGGCACAAAGGACACCTCTCGTGTCCAACATCAAACCTAACGTGCTGTAATGTGCCGACTAGTTGCCCCTTGGATCATCTTTGAGGCGCCTACATGGCAGAAAGGACACCTCTCGTGTCCAGCACCAAGCCTAACGTGCTGTACTGTACTGTGCCGATTAGGTGCCCCTTGGGATCGTCGCGGCGCTTCCAGGCGTAAACGACTTCGGTGATTCTGACATCACGCTCCCGTGGTACAATGCACGAGGACGGATGGATTAGTACCAACAGTAGGCTAGCAGAGTTGCCGCCGACACTGAGAGTGGAGAGCTCCTGTCGGTGGGCGGAGTAGCCTGGAGTTATTCTGTGGCGGTGTCTTCTAGGTTTTGGCCCGCCCTTGGCGGGTAGGGAGTGAGAACCGTCTGACGAATCGCTCCGTAACGGCGGCAACATTTCACTCTGGGCGTAAAAACGCCGTTTTTTAGTCGGTCCAATGAACGGGCGTCTTGCTGCTGGTCACGTGCTGCAGCACATGAAACGCGGGAGTGCAGTGCTGCGCCGCGGATCGAGGAGCTCTAGACCAGACCAGGGGACCTGCTAGATAGATAGCGGCAGTCCAGTGTTTTGGGGGGCTTTGTCAGTAGATAGCGGTGCGTGTGGTTGCCGCGAGTGGTGGATTCTCGGGTCGGATCCGGCTCGCGCAATTTTGGCTATGCCAAGCTGCATTTCGACCCGAACCGCGAGCATGTGCTGTTCGTTCGTGTGTCCAAATTCGGGTCATGGCTCTACTAGGAGCCAGCATGTCCAGATCCAGCTGGCATGTTTTGTGCCCAGTCGAGGCGCGGCTTCTATGCACGAAAATATGAATTTTCGCCACTTTCACGACATTTCGCCAGCAGCCGCAGCTTGAGCAGGTTTCTCTCTGGCAGCAGAGAGTGCGTGCGGTCCCCGTGGCAGCATTTCTCCCAAGCTCCTTATCCCTTCAGCTTTCAGATTCCCTCACAGCAACATGCCTGATCTCCGATCACCCGCATCTGGACGGTGGAGGTTCGGTATAAGTGCTCTCAATGCATTCCCACAAGAGCGGTTATCTGCATATGGACTCCACGTTTCGCAGCTTCATCACGAACATTGCATTTAGCACATGATAAAATCTACTCTTCTACACCCCCTCGTGTATCGCGCGGAGTGGTGTACAGTACACTACGCGCGACTCGGCGTCCGAACCGCATTTCTGATTAGCAATTTTCGGTTCGAGTCAGGACACTCTCGACCTTCCCAGCTCACGGTGAGAGAAGCAGCATCCACCAGCAGCATCCAACATAAAACCCAACACAAAATCTAAACTTTCTCATCAAACTTTGAGTATCCATTCTTCTGTTGATCACTTGTTGATCAACGACTGAACACTCTATCCTTCTGCTTCTTCAGTCTGAGACTCCACCTTTTAACAGCAATGGCTCCGATCGCTCGTGGCGCTGTGCTCCTGCTCGTGGCCCTGTCTCTGGCCACGTCCGTCTCTGCCGTCATCAGTCCCTTCTGGGGTGGAGCGCAGCCCCTTGAGCCGGTACGTGTCATTTTGCAACACCCTGAGCTCAGGGAAATCTGGCAGCACGATGATTCTTTCTGCAGCGTTCTCACAAACAAAACCTTCTGGCGGTGTGTTCGCTTTTTGACGCGTCGGATCCTTACCACTTATGCCTCTCTAAACCCATTTACAATCACTCGTACCCATATGCTTTCAAAATCGCATAGTTAATCTCGAACGCGGCACGTTGAGTCAAATGGGCGGCGCTGATCATTTTGTGGAAAGCGATGCGGTAGTTTTGTATCTACCACTCACCACATGATCGTTCCCTCTTTTTTCCCAAACGCGATACGCAATTCCTGCAGGTGGCGAAGGCGCTGATTGCCGTGTGGAACAAGGCGGCCAAGACAAAGCCCGCGCTGCTGGTGGGGCCCTACGATCCCTCAGGCTCTAGCAACGGTATCAAGGGTTTCTACAACGGTACCTACCTCATTGGCGCCGCCTCCGAGCCCATCACCGCCACCGTGGAAGGCCAGAATCCCGGTGTTGCGAAAATCACTCTTCCCGTCGCCGTGGCCGCGTACAACTTCTTCGTCCACGGGAAGAGCATTGTTCTCAGCGTGGCCGACACTCACAACATTTACAGCGGCGACGTTTCCGATTGGAGCGGTATTCCCGCCGCGAAGGGCAAGATTACCGGCCCCATTTTCCGCTATGCGCGCTCCGATAAGGTCGGCACGACGGCCATCATCCAGCAACTGTGGGCCAAGGCGGGCACGGGCTACACCGGCAAGACTGACGGCTCGCCGCTTACTTTCGGGGGTCTCCTGACGGTGGCGTCGAACGCCGCGATGTGCAACGCGGTGGTGGCGAAGGTGGGCGCGATCGGGTACGCGCACGTGAGCGCGTGCGCGGCGCAGGTGAAGAAGTTCAACACCAAGATCGCCGAGGTGGCTCTCAAGAACGCGCTCGGGCAGGCGCTCACGTCCAAGACCTGGGTCGCGACGAACGCGCTCAACGGCGCTACCCGCCCCGCGCCAGACGCTTCGTGGGACCAGGTGGATCTGATCTGGAAGTCGATCGCCAAGGCGCCCGCCGCTGTCTCCATGCAGTATGTGTTTGTGAAGAAGGTTCTGCCCAAGAATGGCGGCGCCGTCGCGAAGCAGTTTCTCGTGAGCTCGCTCGCCAAGTTCAAGGGCTCGGCTGTCGCGAATGGGTTCAACTTTGTGCCGCCCGCTTGGTTCAACCCGTCCGCTAACGCTGTCAAGGCCGTCAC